GAAAGTACATTACACGTTATTGATACAACTATTGGCACAAATGAATGTACATTTTCTCTTAATGAACAGCAAAAGGTGTAATATTGTTTCAACCACAACGAGAACGCGCGATGCTCGTTACATCAATAATTCTCTTGACCGCCAATAATATTACTGTGATATTGAACACATTTTATTCTCCCAAGAAATAGGACTGAGCGTTTTAAACGCTGTTTTATAAATAGATGCTCGTACGATTTTATTTAAATTTCAATGCAAACTCAAACGTTTGTTTTGCAGTAATTTCTAATAAAGAAATTTATTATTATTATTATTATCACTATTATTATTATTATTATTATCATTATTGTTGTTGTTGTGAAGCAAGTACACCAGCTACCAGATGATTCACCTACCAAAATCTTTACAACAGTAGGCAGTGAAGACTCGGCGAGCGAACAAAAGAACTCGAGGATCGAGCACAACACATTAAGGATACTGCACCACAGAAGACGGCAACGTACGATAGAACTAGCTGCCGAAAAAGGATCTTCAGTGTGGCTGACAGTGCTTCCCCTTCAAGATCTTAGCTTCAAACTGAATAAAAGGGAGTTCCGTGATGCTATTAGACTGCGCTACGACTGGCCGCTGGATGATATTCCTTCAACTTGTGTATGCGGAGAATCTTTTACAATTGACCATGCTATGAACTGTAAAATAGGTGGCTTTATCATTCAGCGCCATAACGAGTTACGTGATCTTGAAGCTGAGCTGCTAATTATGGTGTAGTGATGTTCAAGTTGAACCGGTCCTCCAAGACATCTCAGGAGAAGAACTTAGCAGAGGATCAAATAAAGCACAAGACGCAAGACTCGATATACATGCGCGTGGATTTTGGGAACACCAACGTTCGGCCTTCTTTGACGTGAGGGTATGTCACCCCAATGCTGAATCGTACCGTGAACTAGAACCACAACAGATATATCGAATACATGAAAACGAGATAAAGCGCCAATACTCAAGTACCCTGGGTGCCAGAAGCCGTGTGGGGCGGTCTATTTTAGTGTACTGAAGGTAAATTTGATTAACTTATTAAAGGTTTAAAGGAGAGTAATCGCTAACGAAGCGACGCCGGCGCTGCTTGGCACGGATAGTGCAGCGGTAAATACTCAGAGCGTACGTACAGCTGATTCAAACCAGAAAGACCGTTGGTGGACGTGGTAAATATATTCATATCGTACGGCTGATTCGAATCAGAAAGACCGTTGGATGGAAAGATAAGTGAACACTATTTAGTATCCATTTAGAAACAAACATATATCAATTCAATTAGAAATCTAAGAATAACTGAAACAATCACACATATTTAAAACCCAATCCGTCTGTCCTGGCGCCCTTGGTATGTTTGAGAGGTTCAAGATCAAAAAGGCGAACACCTTATGATGTACATAACTGTGATATTGACACTGTCCAAGGAGCCATTAAGTCTTCTACTTAGATTAACTTTTAAATATATTAATTTTTTTTTTAAACTTTAATTGTTTTTCATATTTTACAAATATGTTTTTATCGATAAATAAGTAATTAGTTCATATATTTGTTATTTTTTATTCTCAATATCTTTGTTTTTTATTATTATTATTATTATTATTATCATCATAATTATTATTATCATTGTCTGCAGTACTAAAACATATATACAATCAGTTACAATAAATTTCTAGCAACAAAAAAGCCTCTATATTTTATAATTCTGTAACAGTATCCTAAGATTATAAGAAAAAGTTCAAGCAAGGGCACTAGGACACCGAATGTGGTTGGATTTTTATAGGGTTTTTTTTCCTTTCGATTATTTGAATTAAATCAACGTTATACTTGTTTACTTATCTTGTGTCCGTGTTCCTTCGTTCGCTGTCAGAATGCAGACGTTTTCTTCCAAAGGTCAAACGGTTTGAATAACCTATGGTCGTTCCGTACTTGACTCTGTTTGTACTATACCAACAACAACGCGATCGCGCGATGCTCCCTACGTCAGTAATATTCAACCGTCCAGAGTTAATATGGTTAATCAAATTCACCTTAAGTTCCATATAGCGGGGCTCTATGTGGAACTTAAGGTGAATTTTATTAACCATATCAACTCTGGACGGTTGAATATTACTGACGTAGGGAGCATCGCGCGGTCGCGTTGTTGTTGGTATAGTACAAACAGAGTCAAGTACGGAACGACCGTTAAAGAAGTAACGCTCATAGGCTATTCAAACCGTTTGACCTTTGGAAGAAAACGTTTGCATTATGACAGCGAACGAAGGAACACAGACACAAGATAAGTAAACAAGTATAACGTTGATTTAATTCAAATAATCGAAAGGAAAAAAACCTATAGAAATCCAACCACATTCGGTGTCCTAGTGCCCTTGGTTCAAGCTTACATAACAGTTGCTTTGAATGTTCGTGCTATATGGAGCGAGTAAGAGATTATGGCTTTCTGCATCTTCTCCAAAACACGCTTTGATCGGGCACCAACAAGCTTCTTCATAGTTTGCTCAAGGTTCTTTGACCATCCTCCCAATGCATCAATTATGATATTGCATTGCTGTACATTGTAACCAGGGTGCTGTTGTAGTAGTGCACCGTACTTGATTGCCTTCTCCTCAACTTTCTTTTCACGATTCTTAATCCAGGGACAGCTCATTTCTACTGCCCAGACTTGCTTTGCCTTATGGTCCACGAATCGTACATCCACCCTATAGCATACACCGGTACATCTCAGAAAGCTTTAGCATCATCCGACTCATAGATAGGTTTTGGAGTCACAGGTGAGTACCAAGGGGTGAGTACTTTCCACTAATTTAAGATCTTTGCACTTCTCGAAGAATAATATCTTCAGAGCAGCATTGTGTCGGTCCAAGTACTTTGATTGAGCCAGTGTAGAACATCCTGACAGAACATGTGGAAGGGTCTCTGCTTCTCTACCGCACAGCCTACAACTTACATCTCCCTGAGTTGTTTTGGTCTTGTGTGACGTATACACTTTGGTTGGCAATAGTTGATCATACAGCTCCAGCTCCAGTTAGTAGTGACGAATGGCCTTCCTCCGCTGCTCTCTCCTCTATTTTTAGGAGTTTTTAGGTTTTAGTCTGCCTCCAGCTTAGGTCGGGCTGTTGCTACACAGGCATCGGGCGTTGTTTGTTTGTCATGTAATACCTCAATACATAGCTCAATACCACATGTGGCTTAGTACTTTTAAAATCCCAAAGCGTTATCTAAAGTAACGTGATATTCGATTGTCCTAGAGATAGTGAGTGATTGACATGCGTCACTCGTGTCAAAAGGCTGGCGAAAGCGATATCAATGTTTTAGTAGTGACTACGATAGTGTGTTGTGAGGAACTCGTAGATGTAAAAGACTTCAGTTGATTGGCAATCGCTGAATGTAAGTAAATTAACCAAGTAACTATCATTAATACGGTTTCGTATCGTTATCCAGTTTGACTAGTTCTACTTTGACAATTAACAAATGTTTGAATGCTTGGCTGCTGGTCGATCCGAATAATCGATCGAACAGAAAAAAAGTAGAGTTCTTGACTAGCTCAATTTATTCCATCGAAACTGTACATTTATGTTAGCATGTAATGGAGATCAGCACTATATGCACTGGTTTCATTATTCGGACCCATTATCCCATAAATTTGATTGGATGCCGATTGATGTTGAAGACGGTAGTGTGTAGTGAATGATAGTTACGAGTATTGGTAGAAAAAATGCCCTTCCGTTGGTCTTGGTATTAGTATATGAAACGTGCTGTACACGTACACGGTACGACATACAGTACAAGTGTAGGAAAACATGTATTGAAACTCGTACACATGCTTTAACATTGAAAGGGCTTCTCTTGCAATTGTTTTCGTGTGAAACGCTTACGGGTGACCTGAGGCTACGAATATTTGCTGTATCGTTTATTACTCTAGATCACCACATGCCCAACAGGTCTTAGTTCATTTCCTATTGCAAGGGCCTGTTTGAGCAGTGGAACACCCACAAACCACCGTTCATAGTGGTCCTGTAAGTCGAGACGTTTTCGCTGGAAATCCATAACAATATTCCATGGTTCTCGTGACTTCTTCTTAGCATCAAATAATTCAATCTGTCTGGGCTTTATGTTGACCTAATCTCAACTTAATCTTAATCGAAATTACAATGTACATACCTTACAAACTATTTACCAGACTACCCACCTAAGATTATGTTGAGATCACTAAAGGTCTAGTTTACTAGATCAAACGTCAAGTTTTTCAAATTGAATAAGATTGAAGCCACTATTAATGCCTTATTTATCCATATGATATTTTTGTGGAACTACTGAGACGGAATAGCCTTCCCCTCCGGCCCCTGGAGTTGCAATGATGGAGACCTTTTTTAAAAACTTCTACAGTTATTCACATGTATCTGACATGTATCTATCATCGCAAGGTCAACCCGTAGCAGGGAACTGCGAACTTGTGTTTCATGGCCAAGTTTCAATATCTTTGGGGTTGAAATAGAAAATTGGTTATTTGTAAAACGCCGATTTGGCCGGGTTCCTTTGTACCCTACCGTGTTAAGCCTTGTTCCAATATGTCGGCGACACGCACGCAATGCCACGTCACAGCAGGTCCTACCTGGGACGCAATTCCGATGATGAAAACACTTTGTCGGCGGCGGCATCACAGACTGTCCAGGTTTGCCGCCGGCATGCCTGCGAAAAGTGAGTTGAGTTCAAGCGATTACGACATGTAGGCGGTGTTCCCGATTGTTCTCGACTGTCACCGACTGTCCCCGACTGTCCCCAACTGTCACCGACGGTCCACGACTGTCCCCACGGTCCACAGTAGTATCCTCCCCCGGGGGGGGGGGGTTGGGTACTACTGTCCCCGATTGTCCTCGAATGTCCCTGAATGTCCCCGACTGTTCCTTACTGTCCCCGACTGTCCCCGATTGTCCCCGATTGTCCCCGACTGTCCCCGACTGTCCCCGACTGTCCCCGACTGTACCCGACTTGCCTGCGACGTAAGGCAACCAGACTTTACCAATCGGCCCAAGAAAAGTTGGTTGTCATCATAATCATAAATTTCAACATATATGATACAATATTTACGGTCCGACAACGCCAAACCACTGATTTTTACGTTTTAATCCAGCAGATAAACAAGAGCATGGTAGAGCAAGCGCCCTTACAAGCAAGTTCGAAGGCCGCCCGAGAGTTTGATGAAGTATTCGAACACGTCAACTCATTTGGAAGACACCAATGGATCCTGTTTGTCTGCTTCAACCTCTTGGTGTTTCCGGTGTCCAGCCAGTTTTCTGCACTTGTCTTTGCCTTCAGTGCCCCTGCGTTTCACTGTACTACGGCAAATGTCACGTGCCCGGTCAAGAAGTGCTGTGATAAGTGTACTTCGTACGCGTTTGACGGGCCTTTCCACAGCAGTGTATCAGAGGTTGGTAACTTATGTTCGTATTTTAACGTTAGCACTAGAAGTACAAGTATTTAACTCGTTTCTACGCTTCGCGTATCCACGAGTTAAAACAGCAAGACACTAGGGGCAGGGTTGACTGGGATATTTGGTTAGAATGACAGTGTACTTGATTTCAGTTCAGTATAAAGAATTGAAAGGTGATGTAAAGATAAGTTGACAGTCATAGAGCTAATAATGTACAATGGAAGCCATTATAGGCAAAACGTTTATGCTATAATCTCAAAATCATCGAAAAAATCCATTTTCAACTACAATTTCCAGCACGACTGCGGATTTTCGAATATGTAATTATGTCGTACGATATCGAGTTACATTTAAGGTGGCTGGACCCCCTCACGCTTGACCGCTACCTTCCACTTTTGGAACGCTGGGGCATAAACGTGTTTTATCCGATTGCAAATCTTTTTTGCACATAAGT